CCAGCTGAAAGATTGATGGAGATGAGATCCGCCAGTGCCTCCTATACAACACGCCATACATGTTTATACCAATCCAAGGCTGACGCACCCCCTCATCCAATCATCTGTGGCTCCCCTTTATTCATCCACATGGAGTCTGCGTTCTGCAAGCCACAGGCAGATCCCTTTTGCAGGGATGTCCAAACTGCGGCCCTCCGGCTGTGCTGGAACTACGAATCCCATGAGGCTTTGCAAGATTCTCACAGCCACAGACATGACTCCCGGAGAGAGATGCATCATGGGATTTGTAGTTTCACCACAGCTGGAGGGCCGCAGTTTGGACATCCCTGCTTTTGTAGTATCTGAAAATGAAGCTTCCCACACTAACCAATCACGTTCCAGTGATGCTAAGGCGACACAAAGGTCTGTAGAGGTGGAGTATCCATTTAAATGTGCTGCACCCCCCTCCCCCCCCCCCTTCAGTTATTTTTTTTGGGCCGGCTCACATCTTCCATACGGTCTGTTTATTTGGCCTTGGGGGGGCGGGGGGTTCAGGAATACATTGGGCCCTTTATGTAGACTTTCCCGCGGGTCCTCTGTAGGCGTCTCGTGAAGGTGAGTCCGGTGCCAGGAAGCCATGCCCGGTGCCAGCCAGGAATCTTCCACCCGGCCTGTTTACAGCGCTGGATATGCTGGGCGCCATAGCTCTGGTGTAGAGTCCCTCTGCAAATGGGGGAGCCCCCCCCTTACAGAGGGGGTAACCTAGAGCTGAGATCCCTCATAAAAGCCGAGAGTGCCAAACTAATGTCCAAGAACTTACTGGTAAAGTTTTGTTTTATGGTGGTAGACAAAACAGGCAACGCGTTTCAGGGGGTTAAACAAGCTCCTCCTCCTTCAGGGCTTTGGTCACAAGATGGTGGGGCTCCTAAAAGTTGCTGGGACTCCTTTAAGATCCTAGGGCTCTTAAAGTGAGTCCCACCATCTTAATAGATGGTGGGACTCACTGGGTGACAATAGTGGTGCGGAAGTACCACCACCCATTATGATCCCCCGTCACCACCTCTTAGGATCCCCCGTCACCACCTCTTAGGATCCCCCGTCACCACCTCTTAGGATCCCCCGCCACCCCACCTTCGGATTCCCCGTCGCCACCTCCTTAGGATCCCCCGTCGCCACCTCCTTAGGATCCCCCGTCGCCACCTCCTTAGGATCCCCCGTCACCACCTCTTAGGATCCCCTGTCTCCTCTTAGAAGACCCATCGCCTCATAGGAGCCCCACCGCCTCTTTAGGACTCCGACCACCAAGTAAGAAGCCCCACCGCCTCTAAGGAGCTTCACCACTTCTTAGGAGCCCCACCATCTCTTAGGAGTCCCACCATCTTTATCCAGAGCCCTGAAGAGAGGGGAGCCTGTTTGACCCCTTGGAAGTTCTACTTGCCATTCTCAGTTTGGAATTAGCCTGATTCACTGGCCCTGTCTCTCTCAGGATTGGTGTCGGCAGGTAAAGTGCTGCTTAGCAGACATGGGCCGCCCCGTGCCTCCGGTGTTGGATCCTCCGGGATCTGATCCCAGCCTCATGTTTACAATCCTCGGCTCTCTTATCTCTGCGCTGACACTGAGGGATTGGGCTGGGCGAGGTCACTATCCCATTCCAGATGAAAGGTTACATTCTGCAGGCAGGCGGAAGCCGTGCCAAGTCCTCCACCCAGCACGCGCCATCCCTAGCGGTGGGCAAAGTGCAGATGGTTCTATGGGAGCGACGCCCTGCGTAACCCGCCAGCCTGGCCGCAATAGGGATCTGTGGCTTTAAGGGAATTGGCTGCAGGTTGTAGGATTTTGCTCTCCGCATGCGTTGTACTGACCCTCTGTGCTTCTCTCTTCCAGGCTCAGCGACACGTCAATGATCTGTATGAAGACCTCCGCGATGGACACAACCTCATCTCCCTGCTGGAGGTCCTCTCCGGGGAGACCCTGGTGAGTGTCACGCCACCCGCAGGGCGGGATTTGGTTTTTTAGTGATCAGTCTGCTGCAGGCAGGAGGAAGCATTGCCTCAGTCTCCCCTCCCCCAGTGATCAGTCTGCTGCAGGCAGGAAGAAGCATTTCCTGATCCAGAGACAGGGAGCAGATAATGATTGTAGTTGTATAGCACCAGCATAGTCTGTAGCATTGTACTATAGGGAGTAGAAGATACAAGCCATGATAGCAGGGACCCCCTCCTATGCAGTATGTGGATGTAGACCCCCCCCCCTGTCCATCCCGTATAACCAGGAGGCGCATTGTAGTCCCCTGGCGGGACCTCGCAGGTGTCAGTGCTGCGGACAATGACAGGAAGCCGCGGTCAGGAATTCAGACTCCGGCCCGACAAAACCAATCGCACCCGAGACAAAGGGGAGCGCTCGGCTAAATAAAGCTGTGTGTGCGCTGCAAGCGGCCGGACAATCCTATCGGTTGGTAGTGAGCTATTTTCGGATTGCAGAGCCGGGGTGACGTGTTCACAACCTGTAGGCTTACCACCTGTTATAAAGAACTGCAAGTCCCAGCATGGCTGCAGGGGGGATGATGTGACTTGGGGTAGGGATCACATGGAGGGCGAGCTGGACACACAGTCTCTCATAACCCATCATCATCCGCATCCTCTCTTTAACCTATTAACACTTCCGCTCGGATAAAGCCCACCTTTCTCTCTCTCCCCTTTTATATCCCCCCCCCTCCCCCCTTTGCTGGACTCTGCCCTGACCTTTGCCCTGTGCCCTTTGCTCCCTTCTTGCACTGCTCTTGGTGGGTAGCCGAGGGAACGGGACGTTATCCGGAACTTGCGGTTGGTGAGTGCCAAAGGGCCCCGTGTCCGCACCCGGCATGGTTTTCTTTCTTTCTTTTACCGTGGCATGCTGCTCTGCCATTGGCTGGCCACCGGTGTGATGTCACTTCCTGAGCCTATAAA